ATGTTTTGGACGGTCATATGGATGGCCTCGTAGATTTGACGAACAACACTTGCAGTTGTAGAAAGTTTCAGCTTGAGCAGCTACCTTGCAAGCATGTAGTTGCAGTTTGCCGCTTCTTGAAAGTAAATGTATACTCAAAGGCTTCTCGGTATTACACTCGGAAAACCTGGATGGATGCTTATTCGGATAGCATCTACCCGATACAGCCTCACGGAATGTGGGATATTCCTGAAGATGTTCGAAGTCGAGTTGTGCTGCCTCCCATTGCAAGGGTCATGCCAGGCAGACGAAAGAAGATAAGAATTCCCTCGCAAGGAGAGGGCACCATTAGAAGAAAGTGCTCAAGGTGTGGTTCCGCAGGCCACAATAAAAGCACCTGTAAAAACACTATTCCAGTGCGCAATGTATCTTAGACAATATGATTTCTGTTGCTTTGGTAGGTCATGTCAACTTTACTTTTATTTGTGGTGGGTTTCGTGTTATGTTCAATGGGAATTCTTTTACATTTGCATAATGTGGGTTGCATTGCTACAGCATGCTGTATTGCGTCCAGATTGCCATTCTATTGTACATATATTGCACTGGTATTGCTTCCATATTGCTATTATAATTTGAGTGCGAAATTAAAAGGCCTGGAATGTAATTCCAAATGGATCCAAAACATTCAAGTTGTTTGAATTCCTTTATGACACAGTTACCGTGATACTCCGACTATACCTTCTGTTGTGATTACAAATTCGGCCGATGCATAGGCCATATGTGGGCCAAATACAAGGTGAAATGTCCTATGTGTTTGACTACATATCGTTGTTGAAGGAGCATTACGAATGTGAACCCCAATACATTGCTCATGTCCAATGGATAATTTAGGGGTTGAAAGAGGAAGGAGCATGAGGTTTTAGGGTGTCATGTTTCTGTAATTTAGGGGGGGATGTAATGGTGCTACAAGGCATGCATTATATATATAGAGTTCATTTTGAAGGTCTGTAATTGTTTGGGGGTGGTGGAAACCCACCTAATCTGGGCACGGGATATTGGATTGGCACGAGGAGAATACGGTCGGGCTGAACAGCTCTCTAAAATCGCAACTGGGTTTTGTTCGAAAAGGGGCTGGAAACTCAGGTTGCGGCCAAGGTTTTTTCGCTGGGCATACAAGATGCGGCCTCACAGCTCGAATGGCCGGGCAGAATTGGAAGACTGCAGCCGGGCAGAATTGGAAGACTGCAGCCGGGTGTGATGAATAGGCAGCCAGGCAGAATTGGAGGAGTTCGTAGCCGGGCAGAATTGGA